ATTGACGTAAGATATTTGACGTTTCTCTCAGTCCATAGGCGTCCACGAATCTGCACATCTTTTTCTTCTGTTTTTGTTTTTTTTTGTAATTGGTTGGTATTACGTAAATACGAGATGCTTATCTTGATGGATTGTAAAGATCAAAGAAGTGGATTAATTGCAAATGATTATGCAACCGATCCGTCTTGAGTGATGCCAATCATAAATAATTAATTTCTTGATTGATGACGTGTCGCGTTCTCGCTACTTGAGTTGCATACAACGACTCGTTCCGCTTCTCATTAACGTCGGAGAACTGACGTTCGAAACAATAGTGCATGCAAGCGGTGCATTGTGACATTCCATGAATGGAGATTACGTCATTTCTGTTGTTATTTTCATGATGATGATGATAATGATAGTACTTAGTAGTAGTAATTCGCAGAAGGCGTATCGACTGTCACATCTCAAGGTCAATGAGCGATTATTTGCGTTGATTGAAAAACATTTGAATGGTGGTAGTAATTTTCCGGTGCAGATGGCGCTGGCAGTGAAGTGCCCCAGTTGTATGCAATCCAAACGGCATTAATCACAGATAGAATCTCGCATTTTGACGTAAATGAAACGGGGAGCACACATGTTTCAGGCCGATAACATATTTTCAGTGCGCGCTGACAAAAAAAAAAGAGAACGAGAGTAGAGAGAAGAGGAATAGGAGGAAGCGAATGTGCGCTTCGATATAAATCTCCCCCTTCCATTTCCTTTCTCTCTCTCTCTCTTTCACCCTTTTTTTTCTGTGTCACGATATCGGGGGTTTCGTTTGAAATGAGCAACTCGCACGGAGAATGCAAATAGTCTCGCCGCCGCCGCCACCCGCGATTGCGTAATGCGAGCGTGGCTGCAAACGAAACCAATTTCGCGAGAGCGAAATAAAAAAAATATATATAGAAGAAGGAAGCGCAAGTAGACGCGCAAGTTGCTCATTTGGCTCTCGGTGTAAAATTTCACGCATGAGAAAAGGAAAAGGAAATGAAAGAACAAACAACAGAATGAAATAAATAAAATAAAAGAAAGAGGTGAGTGAAAAGAGCGCAGTAAGATCGATATGTTAAGTAATGTAATAGATGTGAACACAAAAAAAAATAAAACAAATGGCGAGAAGTAAAGAAAGTAAAGGAAACAAGTGATCACGAAAAGAAAAACATTAAAAATTGATTCGATTTTCTTTTCCTGTTGGATCGTAGAGATTGATTGAGAATTAGAAAAAAAAAAACAAATATATATAGAGAGAGAGAATCAAGCGTTATTATCATTATTTTTTTTTTGTTGGTAAATTAATTGCAATTATTTTTTGTTTTGGTTATTTTGGTTGGTTGTTGTAGTTTTTTTTTTGTTTTTTTTTGTTTTGTTTTGTTTTGTTTTTGTTTTTGTTATTTGGGTGTACCTAATAAGAAGATCTCTGAGAGTGGCTTCATCGTCCGCTTGTATTTCTTTCTTCGTCTCATCACGCGATTTTCGTCGCGGTCCAGAGAGGGTGCTGCGGCGCGAGGTCAGCTTGAGGGTCGGGTGAGCCTCGGGCTCAACGTCGGAGCCCAACTCATATTCCTCCACCTCGACTACCTCCGCGTATACTAAAATCGTAACGAGGCCCCCGAGGTGTGCGCCCAGGAGGAGAGAGACAAACAAACAAACAGAAAAAAGAGAGAGAAATAAAAACCAAATTCGAAAAACACGCTGTCATTATGTTTTTTTCTTTTTCAAAGTCTGCTTAACTTAAGTCACATCAACTACCATACATCATAGAGAGAGAGGTGTAAGTAACATATATATAAGTTTTTTTTTATATCGAAAATAAATATAGAGAAACAACAACAATCGAAAGAAATTAAGAGAGAAAGATAAAAACGAAAATTAACAGAGAGAGAAAAAAAAAGGAAAACGAAATTAATTAAGACTATGTGCGCCGACATTACTATTCTGTTCCATTTTTTACTTTTTGGCTTTTACATCATACACTCATTGCACAACAAGAAAACTGTGGTTCAGAGAACATTGATCGAAAACGAAAAGATAATTGAGAGGAAGGTTAAAGGGATTTAAAAACGCGTGTGTTCTTTAACCTTTTTAGTACCGTTTTAGTACAGCAACGTTCTACAAGAAATAAGTTTAATTATAACATTTCCACCATGAATTGAATCAAAATGTATCAAATTAATTATTACGTTTAGTATTTCCCACAAAAATCGATAAATTCCAATCAAAATATTTACAACTAATTGAAATATTAACATATGCATTATTATAATATCACTTCAAAGTACAAAAATGTGGATGCGCCGGGCACTGAAAATAAATTTTTAAATATTTTTTAAGTAAAAATGAGTAAATTTAATTTCAATTTTCTAATACTCTTTAGATTTGAATAATTTGTAATAATGAACTGAAAAAAAAATTAAACAAAGTTGTTTAATTTGTGGTTCAACTTAAAATTTCTTTGTATTTTGTCAGAATATTTCAATTCTTTCATTTCTATAAGTTAAAAATAAAATGAATTTAATAATTTTCATTTATAAAATATATCTGGTTTTTATCTTAAAAACAAATTTTATCAAAAAATCAAAATATTTACAACTAATTGAAATATTAACATATGCATTATTATAATATCACTTCAATGTACAAAAATGTGGATGCGCCGGGCATTGAAAATAAATTATTGTCACATAATTAATTATTTTTTAAGTGAAAATAAGTAAATTTAATTTCAATTTTCTAATGCTCTTTAGATTTGAATAATTTGTAATAATGAACTGAAAAAAACTAAACAAAGTTGTTTAAATTGTGGTTCAACTTAAAATTTCTTTGTATTTGTAAGAATATTTCAATTCTTTCATTTCTATAACTTAAAATAAAATGAATTTAATAATTTAAATTATTCAAATCTAAAGAGTATTAGAAAATTGAAATTAAATTTACTCATTTTTTCTTAAAAAATATTTAAAAATTTATTTTCAATGCCCGGCGCATCCACATTTTTGTACTTTGAAGTGATATTATAATAATGCATATGTTAATATTTCAATTAGTTGTAAATATTTTGATTTTTTGATAAAATTTGTTTTTAAGATAAAAGTCAGATATATTTTATAACTGAGAATTATTAAATTCATTTTATTTTAACTTATAGAAATGAAAGAATTGAAATATTCTTACAAAATACAAAGAAATTTTAAGTTGAACCACAATTTATTTTTTCAGTTCATTATTACAAATTATTCAAATCTAAAGAGTATTAGAAAATTGAAATTAAATTTACTCATTTTTTCTTAAAAAATATTTAAAAATTTATTTTCAATGCCCGGC